CACGGAAAAAAACAGCGCGAATTAATTAAATCAATCAAATGCTGTTGCGTATATTTAACCACATCGGAATTTACTTAATGTACAGTTTCCATCAACGAAACACTGGTAAAGACATAATAGATTATTTATCTGACATTTGATGTGCTATTATACATTAAAATGGAAAAATGTGAATGTAGCATTAATACAAGGCCGTATTTGATTAGACCAATTGTGAACTAATTTAAATACCTTAAAAAATTCGCACTGTTTTTGCATACTCATTTTGTTTTATACATCTAGAGTCAAGCTGAATGGTAGTCGTTTTCGTTTCGGGAAATGTTAACTCAACAAAGCATTAGCAGTTGACGGGGAACTTTTCGCTTCCATCGCAGTTCGGAGGCTATGTATTCGTTCGTTAGATTCACTACATACATGCTATATACTTTGTATATAAAACTGAATTAATTTTGGTTCCCATTTTTTGTATCATATCACGATAAAATAAATAATTTCAGGAATTTAAAAAGGAATCGTGTTATGTTATACTTGTATTGTACCAAGATTAACACTGTTTATCTTTATATCTTGATATTTCGAAGTGTGTAACGACAATTTTAAAAGAATTGAAACTTAGCTGACATTATTGTCTTTTAAGCTTTTAAGTTTAAGCTTAAACATTAATTTTGAACTTAAAATAAGCTTTCGCTGTCTATGTCTATGGAACGTCAGTACAGAAACATCTTTTTCTTTGTTGTTTCCAAATAAAATGAGAGAGATGACTGATAAGAGTAGACTAATAATGTCTCGATGTGTTACTTGTTTTCACGAATCAATTTTTCCAAAGAAAACTATATTATTTTGTTTCATGGAAACAAAAGAAAAGTGAGTCAACAAAATAAATTACATCTCTCATTCGGGACTAGAACCTTAGTGATAAATTATGTGTAATATAATACGGATTTGCTGTGCCGCCTTTTGTTCTCCCTTCGCCTTTACGATTAATTACAACAAAGTCTGATTAAATACGAACCTTAACGCATGTGTGTTTTTGAACACTAATTTTAAGCACATGAAACAAACTTTCATACAACACATTTATAATATCAAAACGTGTAATTAAGTTGTTTATAATTTCGTGACACATTATAATAAATTAAATAGGAACGACTTAAGTCACGTATGAACGTCCGGTGACGTCACCGATTAGTTTATTAATTTAATTTTATAAACATGTACTCAATTATTAAGTTAAATTCTTTGAAATGTTCAAGAATTTTTTTTGAACAACATGGATAACGAGTTCTTTTTGCAGAATTATTTTCTAGAACTTATCAACAAAATATCATATTGATTGTATTTGAATTGAATATGTCCTCGTCATCATTAACTCATTCAACTTTTGTATTAAACTTATAAAGTGCAAAAGAGTCTAATGTTTTCAGCTACTTATACGTTTCTGTGTATTTAGGCAGTTTGATTTAGTGCGGCAAAAAGAGGGCCGCCTTATCCTTAGTCAGCAATGAATCACGAAGCCCTCGGGTGTCTTTGCTCAACACACAGATAAAATCACGAACTGCAACTTTGTTATAACAAAATTCGAAAGAAGAAACGAGGCTGTTATTGACATAAGAAACTTGTGGATAGATATGTTAGGATTTTATTATCGATCTAAATATGTAATTTAATCTAACAAGTAGTAAAAGATGCTTCTTGAGGAGAAAAAAATCTAGAACTATTTTCTAATGCGTAGATGAATTCGTAGTACGGTCTGAGCCTCGCTACGTGCTTTGCTACGAACGTATACTGTGTTACGAAACTTGCTACGAGCATTGCTACGTGCGTTGCTACGAACGTAGCTTCGGGCGTTTCTTCAAGTTTGAGATTTGAGAAAAAATTAAAGCAAACGATTTAAACAAATATTCAGGACCTTTTTTTTTAATCAAGGTTTGCTCCCTAATTATTACGTCTTAAATAACACGTTTTAAATGTTGAAAATATAATTATTAATACACGAGAGCTTCATAAACATCGTCTTTTTAATCAATAGTTCTTTATTAAAGAAGCTGCGAAGTTATATTGTTAGGTTTTACTCCTAAATAATGTTCGCAGCCGTTAAATAAGTAGGGGAAGTAATAAACCGAGTTGGATTATCGGCACCGAGAGCACTCCGAGTACGAAATTTACGCTTCAATTTTGTGCAATAATAGGATTTGTTGTAGTATCCAACTTAAGTATTTCTGATATCTAAAAAGAAACTGAATTTGTAATTTCTTTTTAATTTCACATGTTTTAAGTTTTATTTTGAAACTAAAGTAGACTTGGGAAGTGATTAAAAATATTTAATATGTAACATTTAAATTGTAAATTATTTCAACTTATTTTTGTTAAAAATACAGATACGAATAATATTTTAGGAGTTCACTAAATAAAGGTGGTTTATGAAGGACATAACTAAAGCGGTGTAAAGAACTCGCAACAGTAAAGTCGCAGCTTTGTCCTTCATATTATTAAAAATGTGCGACAACAAAAGCAATATAAATCCGTACCAACTGTCGAGCTATGTACAAGTTAAAGGCTTTTGTTACTTAGTTAAAATCTCTATTACACATTCAACCTTAACTCTTCTATCTATAGAGTATAAATTAAATAAAATATAATTTGATATTGTTAGATTACTACGTTATTGAGAGAATTAGGTATTACGACGTATAAAGATCACTCACATATGCTGTATTGATTTTACAATACATATTAACTCGAATGCTTTGGAACCACCGTCTCATGGTACTTTAAAGTTACTTATGCGTGCTGAATATTTCTTTAAGAGCAGTGTCACACAGTCAAATGCGTCAAAATGACGCAATGAAAAGCTGAAAATCAAATTTCACTAAGTCAGTGTTTGAATACCATTAGAATGCAAATTTTGTATTAAAAATATTCAGTTATTAAAAATGTGTAAATTTGACAACTTTTTTAATCTCCTGTAAACAATATTTAGAATGAAATAAAGGAGTAAAAGGAAAAGCTTACCTTTGCCTAATTGCAAAGCAACGGGAGCTTTTAAGCTAAGACCGTTTGATACAAAGATCCTGCTGTTCCTAAACCCAATTTAATTAAATTCTAATATGATTTTTCGTACCTACAAAAAAAATAGTTTATGTGAGTATTTGCCTATATTCTTTCACTTTAACAATAAGAATAACCTTGGTTCTAGGTTCGATTCTAAATTCAAATTTAAATATTAAGCTTGTTATTTTTTTTTTAATTTTTAATAGCATTAGGTGATCGTTCCATGTTTCCTTTTCTTATCTATTCCAATTAGTTTGGTAACACTCGATAAGTCATTTTTTTCTTCAAAGAGGATATAAAAAAGGCTATAACTCTGCGAAATAAATTACATCGCTCACACCTACAGGCGTGGTGATAAATTGTGTGATTTATAACGCGGATTTTCTCCGAGTCGCTTACTATGCCTAACTCACTTTATACTGGATATAATATACATCGTTGCAAAAAGGGTTTTTTTTCTAATTTACTTCGTTACTCAAGCTATGGAAATTTAGTGAGAAAAAATCTCAAAGTTATCAATACGTAGATGCCAAGAAAATCAAAGAACAATTTTTAACATCGTAGACTAGACAGTGTAGACTACTACTCTTAATTTTAGGATCTAGACAATATATACATACATATACCATCTTTCGTTGGTGATGGTCCTTTCGGACGAAAAATTATCTTCGTATTATAATTATTTTGTTAATATTTAATTACTATTGAGACTTATTTGGAACGACCATCTCCGCTATTGTTAGTGGTCGTTACATCGTTTTTAAAATTAATTTTATTATATTTTGTTTTGTTTATATATCAGTACGATGGTTACACGAAAGTTCTTCATGTGCTTACGAAATACGATTTCGTATACTTCGTAAACAAAATGGTAATCCCGTAATCTGTTCTTATAATACTTTTATTCTAAAAGACACGGCGAGCAATTCAAAGAGAAAGGTTTTCCTTGTACTGCATATAATTATTAGATAAGTACATTGCGCTAAAAGATTGGAACATAAAATATCCTTATTTAAAGCCTAATATAGATTCAATTGGTGGATATTTTTGTTTTAATTGCATGAGTGCATAAATATTATAATCGTCGGTGGCTCAGTGGTCAAGCACTTGACTTGCAATCTGCAGGTCCTGGGTTCAAATTCCGCCATGTACCAATTTGTTTTTCGATTTCCGATTTACATATGTACATTTATCCGACGTTTTTACGGTGAAGGAAAACATCGTGATGCAACCTGCACATGTCTGAGAAGAAATTCAAAGATATGTGTGAAGTCAACCCCCACTTGGCCAGCGTGGTTGACTATGGCTTAATCACCCGATGGGGACGTATAGCTGATGATGATAAATATTAAATTGATATTAAACTCATCATTTATTTACAAAGAAAATAAATGTTGTTGGAATATTGTTTTACTTTGGTTTAATCCTAATTGGATAATATTTTAATAATACTTATGCTTCTATTCAGAAATCTTCGACATGATCTAAGTCTGTATTCCATGAAATTAGCTATTTTTATAGTAAAGTGCCTATCAATTCAGAATACAAGATTTAGTAAAATTAAATTTTCTTATAGTTGACATCACGTTGTATGATTTTACTTACTTGAATAATGATTGGAACAGTTTACAATATTACAGTAATCATTATAATTTTTGTTTCAAATAACTTTATTAAAAATATATTATAATTATTAAAAATTGTGTTGGTTTATTCCATTCGTATGTTTTATATCGTCTTTTTCAATTGAATATAACTTAATTCATGTTTAAAATTAATACTACTTCCATGTATTAATATCAGAAGCCAATAGATAAAAAAAAGAATCAACAGTTATCTATTTTGTACGAGAAAATATCGTAGCGCAAAATTTTCTGTCCCATTAGAACGCTTTCCGAGGTTGGAGGCGCGGGGCGGATTGCTTTCTGCTTTCATTCGTGGCCCGATCGTCAGTTAGTTCGCACGTCGTGTTACCGAGTTAACGCGCAACGCCTGTTGGACGCGATCGTGAAACAATAGTATGTGTTAAGTGTCCTGACAACGACCACGATGAAAGGTAGACACCAATTTCGACGCAGATTCAGTCTACAGCCCTCATTTTTGAAAGAAGAGCCCGAGGAAGAGAGAAGACCGCACAGGTAATTATCAATTATTTATTTTGTTTATCTTTTATTTAAATTAAATACTTTTATTAAGTAAAATATTTTGTTTTTATCTTGGATTTTGATTTATGCGTAAAATCACGTAATGTACGAGTATAAGGCATTTTATTGTTAAAGCGACGTAGTATCGCCGGATCGTGATTGTTATCGAAGTCTTTTCAAAGTACATTATTCTCATTGTTGAAATTCTCAGCTTTGTGACGATTTTATTTATGAGAAGGGAGACAATTTTGTGCAATTTAGCATCGATTCCCCTCGCGCTGCTTTACAGATAATTGTTCAACGCACTTATCTGGTTTGGTGTCTTTCATGATAGGGCACGTTTTTATATCTAGATATATATTTTAATTTATGACTTAAGCAACATAATAAAAATTGATTAATATCTACAGCTTATTTTACTTCGCTATTAGAATAGAAATGGGAAAATTTATTTCATTATTTTCTATTGTAGATGTCAGTGCGCAGCGGTCGCTTTGATATTCCTTCGAATTTAAGTGGCCGTTATTTTTAATCAATAATTAATATATATCATGTTTCTTGGTCAACCAAACCCCGACTCCCCTTGGGCTAGCGTGGTTGACTAAGGCGTACATACCTCTAACTTTGGGAGACTTCGAACTTCTCCCTTGGGATGTATATGAGTTAACATCGACGTTTACTGGTAGATGCAGCCCGGGTTATGTATAAACCTTATATTTTGGGACAAAGTAATTAACCATTTTGCTATTGTTATATAAAATATAAGTTTTAAATATACAATGAATAGCTCCTTTCTATATTTATGTACTTCAGATTGGATTTGAAATTACTTACTCGATACTTTTTGTTTCACTACTTTTTCTTCTTCTGATTTCCGAAGTTCATTGTTGAACACAAAGTTCGTATGCCTAAGAAAATTCTTACCGAAAACTTTTGGCCTCTTTGTCGAGTTTAACCTTCTAAGGATTATAACTTATTTCATTAGTGCTTTAATCGTTTAAAAGCTTTTGTACTTGTAGTTAAGTATTTGTAGCTTAAGTTTACCGTTTAATTTACCGTTGAATGCCTGTAAGCTATTAAATTAACTCCTGATTGTTTGTGTTTTGAATATATAAAGTTATTCTGCAATGATTATTTTTAGAATCAAATTAATTATTTGAAGATTAAATAGAGTTTTTTTGGTAACAAAAGGTAATTTTCTACAAAGATAATAAACGCAACGGCAATTAATATTCCATTATTGTTCATTATCCTAAAAATGACTTTACTCCGAGATTTCGGTTTTCGTTAACTTACTTATTTTGTTTTCGTCCATAAAATTAGGCGGCGCACCCTGTTCTAACAACTATTATTACCCATTCTCTTGATATTAATGCCCTTTTAAAAGCCTTTTATGACTCAGTGTCTCGATTTAGAAGGTTAAATAAATACACATACTAACTTGAGTTAAATTTAGATTAGTTACTTCTTTAATTAAGAATCAATCAGCTAAATGGTTAAATTGTATGTACATAATGTGCACTATGTATCTAATGTGGATTTCGATATATAATGTACAACATTAGTCTTTAAGTGAACCTATATAAAACAGATACTTATATTATTTATCTATACTGTTCTGATCCTAAGTATGGGGAAGGACATGGTGATGTTATCTTAGTAATCTTAGTTTGGATGATTGGATGGATGTTTGTTAGAAGGTATCTCCTGAAAGGCTGCATGGATCCCGATGAAATTTGGCATAGATGTAGAGCGTAGTCTGAAAGAACACATAGGCTACTTATTATGTTTGTGTTTAATTCCTCGCGGACGGGTTCGCGGTCGACAACTAGTATTTGGGTATAAGAGAAATAGTTCTAAATCTAAAGTAGAAAATGGAAGTAAATATTTTCAATTAACTTTAAATATTCTATTGAGTTAAAGTTAACTTTTGTTACGTTTCTATTCAAAGGAATGAAACAGAATTATTCATTGCTAAGTCAATTGAAATGGAAATATAGTATTTTCAGTTAAGAAAAGCATGTATTATATAAATTTATATATATTATTATGTATAATATTATATTTATATTCAAAGTAGAAGTGTTATAGCAATGAATATTATATTTTCTCGGAAACTATATAGCATGCGGTCGCAGCGAATCTCATTTTCTCAGATTTGATTTTCTTTATATAGGATTATTATTTTAAAATTGTATTTTCTGGAAAATAGATGCTTATAAGAATATATATAGTTTATTTTTCAAGCACATGTTTTGAATTTGAACAGCACTTTACGCTCTATTTATTGCTGATTATATTTTAGTTTTAGTAATTTATATTATGAAGCGATCGTCCGCTGATCGTTTGACTCTTTCTATTCCTGACTAGGATAAAATAATGAAAATAATTGGAAATAGAATTTTTGTCGTTAATTTATCAATTTGAACATCAAGTTTATCAAGTGCTTTTTCTTTGTGTTTGATCCGACTGATATGTCGGCCCTTTGAGATTTTTTACCATTGGGCCGATCGATCGTACCAACAGGAAATACTGAAACAATATTCACTAGAAATAAATATGTTAGTTAAGTTCGCAACTTGTCAGTATGACAATATAGTTCGTCTCTTGACAAAAGTATCGTTAAGTAGGTTAATAGACTCTTGATGCTTCGACCTAACGGCAAAATAGGATATAGACACGTTTGTGTTTATTGCGAAGTGTAAAAATATCACAAAAGCTTAGTTAAAAAGTTAGAAAAGAAAAGCTTAGTTCTGGACTTAATTTCAATAGAATTGGAGTAAACTTAATCACAGTAATTCTGGTCTATTTAGTATTAATTTTCAATGACATTTGTTATTTATTTAATTACTATATACTATTATACATCTTTATCACCATCATCACCTGCCTTTGTCTGCTTACGGCTGACCCTAACAATACCAATACTAATAACAATACCTTCACCAGTTTGCTGTCCTCCGCCTAGAATAACGTGAATATGTGATATAGTTATCTTTACTTTCAAAATGTTATCTTAAAAGGTTCCAATTAATAACTCAAGCGTTAAATTAGTTATTGTTCAATGATTAGACAAAGAACAATTTACTTTGTGGGTGGTGACTAATAAAATTTAGTTAATGGACGGTGACCCCCGGGTCGTTATTAGAGTCGAAAGGTCGAATCAATGAATTCATTTACATCTTAAGTAAAACAATGGATAGAATTGTTATTAAATAAACTTTGCGCTTAAAGAAATAAAGGGCTATATTTCGAGGAAGTTTTTATTAATTAAATAAAAAAAATAGTTTTTATTGATAAGATTGTAACCTACATATGATAGAAAAATACAAAGGGAAATATCGGTTAGTTTGTTTAATTCTTTTTTTATTTTATAATTTGTTAACAGTAAACAGCTGATTTCTTTAGTTAGATTATTCAAATATAATCTAATTAACATTAATCCATCCAAATGCCAGTACGGAAAGCTGGAAAAAGCTCTCTTTAAAGCTTTAGCAAATGGATTTATAAATTCGATTTTTTAGTCTTTAATAATCCTTAAGCTGAAAGCGACAGGTATCATTTCAAATCATTTCAAAAGTGAAAATGTCTTTTCACAGTTCCGAGTGGCGCGTATTAATGCAGCCTTAGGACCGTTGCGATTCAATTTTAATATATTCCCAACCGTACTTATCCCGCATTAAAATCCCAAGAGGACTCCTGAATACGTTGGGGTTGAAAAGTTTAATTTCTTCAAAACTGTAATACTTTTTCTGACAAATCTCATTTGTATTATATAGGAAGACTAGTTGTCAATCACGACTCTGTCCGTGCGGTGTTAAAAATACTTAATTAGTAGCCTATATATTCTTCCAGATTATGTTCTACATCTATACTTTTAATGAGATCTATGCAGCCTTTCTGGAGATACCTTCCTACAAACATCCATCCATCTAAACTTTCGTATTTATAATATTATATTAGTAAGATTGTTACATCTTATTATTTACATTTGTTCAATTTTTAGTTAAACAGGTTTAAACTAGTTTGAAATAAAATGTTTTCCAGTCTACTGATAATTTCGCATAAGAAGATTTCTGTAGTACAAAAACTTTAGTTTTAACAATAAGAATGCACTACGTATTTCTGACATTCATACTACATTGTAATAAATGCCAAATGTTCCTATGAATAGCGACCAACTTGAAGCAGCACTGGATTGTAATGGTTAATTTGCATCGCATTGAACTTGTGTTAACAAAGCTTTGTGTTTGTGGAATTACATTCCATACAATCACAATAAGCCAATCGTCGGTACACCAATGCCAATAACATTCTCCTTAATGTCATAGATTCTTACTAATATTATAAGTGCAAATGTTTGTACGAACGGCTCAACGGATTTTGATGAAATTTGGCTTTGAAATAGAACATGTGTTGCATTTTTTTATTTCCACACGAACGGAGTCGTGTGCGACAGCTATTAGTTAATTAATTAACATTGCTGTTTACGTAGAGATTGTTCTCTAGTACAAGCTTGCTTGTATGTTTAGCAAACAACCGTTGCAGATTGGAAAATATTTTTTTAACGTAATTTAAGTAGCCCTAACTAGTACGGTTTGCAAATTATGTTTGATTATTTTGTACATAGTCACTTAATATCATAGTAGTTGTATAATTTTAAATCAAAATATTAGAGTACATCAAGGCAATTCATTAATTTAACTTCCCTGCAGCGGTTGTAAGAAAGCCTGACAGGAAATTATCCCTACTTACTACGATAGACTTTATAACTTCGTATCTCATTTGCTGGCAGTTCAACTATGAAAAGCTTTTAGTTGTTAGATAAGAGTAGAAAGAAATAAGAACAAATTAAGGTCAACAACAAAGTCCTTAATTGCTCACTTAGGGAGACCTTAGTGTAGATCTACATTAGAGACTACTTACATTTGAGTATAGTAATAAAGGGTATATCGTAGCGTTAAGAAGAGATGGAGATTTTCCAAATGCAACGCTTGTAAAGATTTCTGATTCTTTATCCAGTTTAGTTACTTTAATAAATTTAAGGTACGTTATTGTTTTGTATTATTCATAACTTATGAGTGAGTATTCAATGTCAATCGATGACAAACGATTGGCGACCGATAAGCGGCAGTGACACCCCGGCCATCTGATAGCTACATCGCTTATCGTTTGCATATAGGATAACAAAAGCCAACATGAATTCGCGTGAATCAATCAATGTTTTGTTTTCCAATTCAAAGCTTTTTTTGTTTACAAATTTAACCCGTTCGACGTCGGGAAATAGTATAGAAAGCTTTGAATTGCTGCGAGATATACGTCGAATGTATTTGGACAAAATCGGTTCGAAGTTAAAACACATAAGTTTTTTTTACAATTTTTTAAATGTTCGTATTGATGGTTTACAAACACGTTTACAACAAAAACATAAACATATTAAGTTTATTTTATATTAGCTGTCGCCCGCGACTCTCTCCGGGTGTAATTAAAAAAAAACTTAATCAGTAACCTATATGTTCTTGCAGACTATGTTCTACCAATGCCAAATTTCATCGAGACCTATGCAGCCGTACCTGAGATACCTTCATACATCCATCCAAACATTCGCATTTATAATATTAATAAGGATAATATTTAGATGAATTAAATTAAAATATTCTAACATTTTTATAAGTACCAATGAAAAGTTGAAGTCACAAAAAGATAAAATGGGGGAAAAGGAAATATTTTCGACAGTTAATTCGTTACTACAGTCGTACATTATACTAGTACTTATTGATTTACATTTTATGTATGTCATATATCATACCCAGTTAATATACTCATATCATCAATAACTGTCAAGTGTCAGGGAATGTTGTCTCTATACGCAAGTGTTTTAGCTTATTTACATAATTATTACTTAGCGACATACCTTCTAAGAGACGCGACTTAAGTTGTTGCCTTTAATCGATACGCTCTCAGTTTAATTCTACCTCTTAATTTACCATTAAAACGCTTTTGTCTTATAATTTTGTATGAAGTAACGTCAATTAAGTTCTTAATTAAATAAATTAACAGATTAATTTATATATAATTTTAAAATTAAATTTTTGTATACCATGTTAATCTATTTGTTAAAGGATATATTTCCACCGATATGCCAACTTCTTCCTTTACATGTTCTAATGATTTTTTTTTTCTTAACAGCCGGGCTGAGAGGACTGAAGACACGGTTGCCAGTAACCTAACCAACAATGCGGTTAGACACAAGATCGTTGTCCTCGGAGCTGCTAAAGTTGGAAAGTCTTCATTGATCACACAATTCCTATACGGAACATTCTCTTTTAAATACAAACGAACAATTGAAGAAATGCATCATGGCGACTTCAATGTATCTGGGGTACGATTGACATTGGATATTTTGGATACATCAGGTGCATATGAGTTCCCCGCTATGCGCACCCTATCCATGCAATCTGCGGACGCATTTATCCTTGTCTATGATATAACGGATGCGAACAGCTTTGCTGAAGTACGCGCGCTCAGAGATCAAATCCATGAAGTGAAAGCGAGCACGGCCGTGCCTATAGTTGTGGTTGGGAATAAAGTTGATTTAGCCGAAACTGGAGAGAGAGAGGTAAGCGTAAACAATCACAAATAAATAATTATTCGATTTTAGTTAAAAAAAATAAGTAACTAGAGTCTAAGATTGAAGTGACTGTCTCGTGATGTTGTTATGCATATAATTCTCTACAAAAGTTTCTCAATTTTCTTTATTGATTTGCAATGTAGTAAGTATTATATATTGTGCCGTTGTTTGACTAAGCCATAACTTAGGGTAGGCTCCGAGTCAATTGGTGGGGACGTATAGTGAGCTGATGATGATGATATTTTTCATGTCTAGGACTTTTATGTCTATTGCAAATTATAAGCATGCTTACATTAATTATGAGCATTATACGCTAATAAACAACCTGTTTAGATGTGCTTTAAAATCTTCAAAGATTACATGATATTTTTTTCGAAGATAGAAATTAATTTAAAACAATAATTAATTATCAATAGTCGCCAAATCAATAATAATATAAGATATTCAAATGAAAAAAAAAATCCCTCAATATTTTATCTCACTAAATGAACGTTCATCACAAACAATTCCTTGCTTTTCTGTTTATTCTTTGCAAACAAACTCTTCGCAGAAGACCTAATTAGACCTTTAACAAAGACGTTTCGTCTTGAGATTTTCTTTGTCGTCAAGATCCGCATCACACGCATGAAACGCTCGAGAAACTTTCGTATTTAACGTCACGGTAAATATTTTTCAAAATGAGCAAGAATTGTAGATTTTTAATTCATTTTTACTATACATTTAATTGTTCTTATGATTTTCTTATCGAAAAAACTGAGAAAATCTTACTAATGTTATAAAAAGCGAAAGTTTCGATGTATGCAACATGGATATTGAATATGTTTTTTTTTTAAGTTTCCACTGTCAGAGCCGCGTGCGACCGCTACAATACCATAAATATTATAATGTTCGACTTATTAAATATCATTCAAAATATTAGTTAAATAAACACTTACTTTTCTTAACATGATCGTTATTTACCGTTTCATCACATTAATGACTCACAACACCCACAGAAACTAAGTAATGGTAGACATTAAGATCCCAAAAATATACGTAATAAAGGAGACGAAAAGAGGCTTAGTACGCAATATAATTAATATCACTACTTCCCTGTTGCTATTTTAACTCGGAATATTTTCTTTTCCCCGCGCGCCGGCCACAATTACATGAAAATACGGAATGACTCTACCTTTGTTTGTTTTAAGGAAAACTACCAAGTTGACATTTTGTTTACATGTCTTATCCACCACCGATAGAGTAATACTGAATATTAAAATTTATAATTAATTAATTTAAGGCTGTAAGCTATAAATTTCTTCTGCATATTTATACATGTATGTACGTTTGCAAGTATTATAAGTAAATAAGTATAAACAGATATAAAGCTGATTTAAATGCAAAATGTACTAATTACATCGCTACTAAACTTTCTCGTTAGCGTTAATTAATTTTGTCTCCTGATAAACAAACGCAGTCAGCATTAAATCCTATTAGAACCGTGGCTGTTGGGGGTTTATTCTGAAAACGTTGATAACCTATGACTGTATATTAGTTGGAACACGAATTTAATTTCCGCTATACGATTGATACAATGTCGTGTTCCGTGTCGTGACGTGTCATATTCCGTGTCGTGTCGTGCCGTTGCAACCTCGTCTAAATATCGGAAGTACATCGGTACAAGCCTAACATTTTGCACAACACACCTCTCAAAACAAATAAGAACCCATTTTCCATCACCACACTTTCCTTGAGAATAGATTGTATTTCAAATCGAATAATAATTTTAATTATATTCTCTACTGCGCTAAACATAATTTAACTGAGACCAATTTGTATATAGACGCTCATCTGTTTAAATCGTCAAAAACTTTGAAACTTCACTTGTGCCAGAATAACACCAAATAGAATAATGTACCTAATTACCTACGAACTACTTTTAGACATTATTAGTTAGAATTATTTGACACGAATGACGTGCTTTCGTTACAAAGTCCAGTGTCAGAATTTATAGTGCGGGGACACAAACGTCGAAATTTTAGTAAGGCTAGTGTTGGGTCAATCCACTGCCACATTTTCCGATTTGCTTCCTAACATTACCAACATAACAAATACAACCAATGAAACATATAAACTGGTACACATTTGTACTAAAAAACCAACCCGTAATATAAAATTTAGTATATACATTGGTTTGTAAGCGAACATTGTTGGCCCGGCCGCGAGATACTCAACACCTCTGCGTTTTCTGCTCCAACGCCCGCATGTTCAGCTATAATTAGAATACATTAACTCCGTTGAACTTACATAGCAATCGATAATATACACGATGCGATTATAACAACAAATACGCTCTCAGTGTCGCAATATGTCAATTAAAATTAATACTATATAGACGCAACAAAAGCGCTGCTAATTTCGAATGTTAGTAATTAGTAGTAGGTAGCAAACAAGCGAGCGGACACCTGTATTCGTTGAAATAGCGAAGCTATCGCTTTCCATAGACATACGCAATGCAGAAGCATTGCCTATCTCTAATCAACGAAGGATTAAAATATTTCCACTTTCATGCAACTCCTCTTCTATCAAATCCCTTTTTCTTTCCCATACTATCCTTATAAGAAAAGGGAAGGGAAAATGCCAAAATTAGGTCTACAAATGATGATAGAAGCCTTTCTTTATACGATGGATTTATTACAGGTTGAATTCCACACAACGGAGTCTGTGGTGACAGTAGACTGGGAGAACGGGTTCGTTGAAGCGTCAGCAAAAGACAACATTAACGTATCCCAAATCTTCAAGGAGCTGCTGGTCCAGGCGAAGGTTAAATATAATCTGTCACCGGCGCTACGACGGAGACGACGTCAGTCTCTACCCACCGGACCCCAAGGACCACCAGGGTCTAGCAACTCTGCAGCATCACCTGCACAACCCCATGTACCCTCGCCAGCTCAGCTTGCGCATTTACAACAAATACGAGAGCGTCATGCTAACAGCAAACGTAACTCTTGCGTTATTTCTTAAATACTTCTAGTCCATTATTAGAATAAGTGTGATAAATTTTAATATTCTTCATTTCTGAACTGTATACTACATTCCTTGATGTCGTTAGCTCTAAGAAATATATTTTCATTCTATAGTTTGTAGATATTAGTCAACGACAGACAGAATAGTATTTTAATGTCATATATTTCCGTGTTAAAAGTTTTAACAATCACAACAACAATATTCTGATTAAATGTAGTACATTAGAGGAAGTTTGAAAGTAGCGCCAGTGATCGAGAAATTGAGGAGTTAAAGATTAGCGTGGTTTGGACATGTTATGAAGAGGGATGATGATGATATAAGCAAAAAAGTAATGAGATTAAATGTGGATGGCTACAAGAGTAGGGGAAGACCAAAAAAAGTATGAAATGACTGTGTGAAAGAGGATATGCGTAAAAAGGGGGTAGACTCGAATGTGACGTGTGATAGAGATGTATGGAGGAGTAGTACATACTGTGCCGACCGATAGGGATAAGGGCAGGTTGATGATGATGATTGCAAAAGCTTTTAAACAACACTTTTGAAAGATTTCTTTTTTGAAAGTTGACAGTTGACATAGACTTTTATGGATAGACAGTTCACTACATTAAAATGATTATTCACACACTTGTATGAATTATCTATAATTTAATAATGCACTAATCATTTCATTGCTGCATAATAAATAAGTACATTTAAATTAAATATAATAAGATAACGCCAATGCTAAGTGCAAATAATTATAAATAAATGTTTTTCTTCAAATGTGTATGGAAAGGTGATATAAATTAGAGTGATTTGTGACTGGTTTGTTGTAAGTAAATCTTTTATTATTCTACTATTATATAAGACTTTCATATTAACTTATTGTATACAATGTACTTTGTATGTATTTTAAGCTATAATTCTTAAGTTCAGTGTTTGGTAAAAGAGGCACAATTTTTTTTTAATCATTTCAAAATATATAAATATAGAATTATTTTTTACGTTTGAGTGTACATCTAACCTTGATATCTTTCGTACTTATAAATATTTAATAGTTGAAGTTAACCTTGAGTTTTAAAAAAGTATAAGTGAATTTAATATTATATGTTCGTTTTCTTGAAAAATAAACTGAATAATTTTGCTATGTCGAAAGCTAGTACAAGTTATGTAAAGAAGAGTAAAAAGTCAATTTTGAATAAAAATAACACGACTTCTAATAATTTCACGGCAAAACCCTCGTAGCAAATAAAAATAGTTATCACTATTTATCCCATTTTGAGTATGAAACATGTTTGCAGGAATCTGGTCAGTAGAAACCTAAACTTAGAGAGAAAAAAAAATAATTTGAAAAGATTCTAAGTTCTTTGTTGCGAGGCTACTGTTTCCCTCGGGGACGAAAAGTCTCAAGAACGAAATGAGATGTCTCAGACATGATAATTCCCATAAATTAAGGCCAGAGACCCGCGGGGCTCGTAAAAATCAAAACTTTGTTTCTACGTTTAATAAACGTCGCTATTTTATTAAAAATTACTAGTTTATCTTTACCGTAAATATAACCAGAACACTTCTTTGATTAAATTTGGTCATGGTATCATGTTTTCTAAAAGTAAAAGTGAGTTTTTATTGTCATAATACATGTATAACAACAATGTTTCCGTCTGTTTCAGTCTCATAGTCCAAACAGAGATAATTAAAAAGTGATAAGAGTTGAATTCATCGTAATATTTAGTTCATGATTACCACATTTGGAAAGCTAAAAAAAATGCATTTGCAAAATCAGTTCACCTTATTTGATATGAAAGGTTTTACCATCTTTTTAGTTTAATATAGATCTTTTAAACGAAAATGTGAAACAAACTCAAAAGCAAATCGGAAATTAAAGTTTGCTCACACAAAGTGGAATATATTAATTATGAAACACGGCTTCCTTGAACATGACCGAGTAATTAATTTTCCCAACTTTATGCTGCGAGCAACAACTTTTGTCATTTAAACAACTTGATATATGTTTAAGCTGCTGTGTCGTCGCGTTAATAGTGGATGGGCTAAATATATGTGTAGTCAATTTAATGATGCCAAAAACTGTCTCTGGCAATAAAGAATAAAGTCGTTCAGGATTAATAAAAAAATAATACAATATTTTTGATGAATAGATAATATCTCGCATTTATTCTAATTAAAATACAACTGGGTACTAAAAAATATGAGCCATAAAGGCAAAATAGCTTTTTTTTTAAATTATACTCGAAAATTAAATAATTAAATTATTATATTGAAATGAAATTTTATGGATGTGCCTTTTTTATCTATTATTCTTTATTCGTAATATCCAAATATTATTTTTAATTTCTTTTTCGTTTTAATTTTAATTAAGTATTTTTAATTTTATAATATTTGTATTTAAATAATAAATATTAAAAAACGTACTTAGAGTAGTAAATTATCTTGTAATATTTAAGTAAACATGTGACATTTTAGTCATTCCATTTTTAATTTTATTCAAAAAAAAAATTAATTTACATATATTGCCATACAAAAGAAATTATAATTTATTTCACTTTATTTTCTCTGTCAATTCAAGTTTATTGTAGTAAAGTACATTTCTACTTTATGAAATAACTAATACATTCCATTTTTGTTATTGAAGTCTTCCATAAATATTTTAATTATTTCTTTTCTCCCGTAGACTAATTTAAACATGAAAAATCTGCACAAAAGGATTTGAAATATATTATATTGGATTTTTTAACAAACTCTTTTAAAATATAGAATCTTCTTTAATAAGTGAATAAAAAAATATTTGTAGTATTTGTCACTTGTCGTATAAACTTAATAGTTTATATTGTATGTGTGAATTTGTACCGAATATATCAAAAACTATATCTCTAAATAAATATATTTACTTCTGAAAATGTATGTCTTTTATATTCTAGTAAACATTGTATTTAATATTCTTTTTATTTTTTTATTTCATAAGTTGGCAAACGAGCGAGCGGCCACCTGAAATCGCTGAAATAACGAAGTGACCGTTGCCCATAGACATACGCAATTGCATATGCGTTGCCTACCTTTAATCGACGGAGGAGAGGATGCACATAAAGAAAATATTTTCCCTTTCCATGCATCCCCTCATCCGGAAAGTCCACTTCCACTTCCCATCCTTTCCTTATAAGAAAAATGGTGGGAAGGGAAAGAGGACTAAATTAGGCCTCCGGGACGCACACTCATCAGACGAAACGCGGAATTGCTTCCACTTCACGCCTGTCTTCTGTGTATTTCGTCTGTCGTGGTATTTCACCGGGCGAGCCGGGCCAATTCGTACGAAGATGTTAAAGCGGACTCTACCACTGTTAAATATATAATACAAAAAAGATTTTGCACAACTATGGCAAGCACATAGCCATGTAGTACTTGTAATTTCAATAAATAATTCGATTGTAGAGCAAAGGTTGGGCACAAATGTATCCCGCATCATCAACGATGTCACAAAAAGTAGAAAATACAGAGCGACTTATCTGACTCGACGGACAAAAGATAAAGCCGTCTTGTCATGTATTTTGTTATTAACTATGCCTAAGTATTTTGTGACAGAACTGATCGCTATGATAGAGCCACTCTTATTTGATCTCTTTATTTTGTATAGACATTATATATACATAGTTATTTTACCTATATATAGTAGTAGATTCACAAGCTAGTAATGTACATGTTACTTGATAGCATAAACTCTACGCTAGCTTCTCCGTGGCCTTATCCCAGTCGTGTGGGCTTGGAGTACAAGGTTTTTATAATCCTTAACTCTACACTAGCCTGCGAAGTTAACTCAAGGAGGTACTTTATCAGTAGAAATAATAAAAGGGAGTGTAGAAAAATGTTAATGTTATTTTACTCTGTATGTTTGTTGTCCGTGTGTATCGGAGCGAGCGGCGGGCGTCGGGCGGCGATCGTCGGGCACTTGTTGCGCAGCGCGTGGGATCGATCGCGCTCCGGGCCCGACCTGCAGCCTCCGACACCTCGCCGCGGCTACACGCAGACACTTCCCATTCAGTAAGACCTCACCAACACCCGCCCTACGCCCCCGACACCCGCTAAGAAAACAATTTCATCCGACAATCCCATTCCATTCCCAATATCCGTCTTCCAAGTTTAAAGCATTTTCGTTTTTGCCTTTCAAATCAGTCCTCGCCCACAATAAATTGCCGAATATTAACGCCTCGCCGAAATTTTCGTACCTGCTGCGTGAAACTTCTAAGTAGTCTCGTCGAGTTTATTGTCTTCATAAATCTTTCCCCCGGGAGCCGCCACTTCAAATGATTTTCTTTTTATGAAATAAATGCAAAACGTATAGTTATCTGAATGATTAACGATTGTTACAACATTTTACCCTTGAGGGAATTGTGACTGCGATTTTACGTTAACAATATGACTATATAGTAGAGTCAAAAGTTTAGTAAATATTTCAGTACCAATTTACTTGATTGTTCGAGAAAAAGATATATAGATACTTAATAATCCATTTGACACATAATAATTTTACCCTTTTTTCCCATTATCGAAGTAAGAAATGAATAGGATTCAATCAAAAGCTAAGTACCTATGTCAATTTTCTTGAAGATTTATAAAACTTGGAAGGGGAAAGGTCACCTGTTGCTGATAGGCGCTTTACCGATTCCTTTTAAATTACTTTTCCTTGGGAGTGATTTTGTGAGTGGATTTTTTAATAATAAATTTCTTCTAAGAAAGTTTTTTTTATAGCAAGTTTAATAAACATTTAACAGCGTTATTGATAATGTTTAAATTTTATTTTTTTAGGATTCCTTATCTCCAAAGGATAAAAAACGGAACCCTTATAGGATGACTTTGTTGTCCGTCCTTCTGTCTGTCAAGACAGATATCAAGCTAGAATTTATTAGTATAGTTAATTAGTATCCATTTAATATTCTAACTAAAAAAAATCTTAATTATAATAGCTTTTGCAAATAGTAGAGTTTTCTAATAGAATAATATTATCTAATC